CCTGTAAAAAACTTATTTAACCTTGTAGAACATTTTTTTTTGGTATATATGCCTGAAATAGTCCCTCCTTTGGGATTTTATACTTAAATTACGTATTTAAATTTTAGTGAAAGAGCCCATTGCGAGCATTCCATAGAGGTCTGCGGGTGACGTCATTACTATAAGCTGATGATAGTAACATCATTTGCAGGCCCAGAATTGGATGGAGAGGGGGTAAGGGAAGTATGACACAATTGACGTATCAAATAACTCAGCATAATCAGATTATGTTTGATTATCCTCGCGATAAATTGCCTATCGTATAACCATTTTAGGAGCAAAATATGATTATATTATGTTTCCTACGTGAAAAAGCTATTCTGTTCTCGAGACGCCGAGATATTTGGTGAATTATTAGCACGTACCATGTCATCAGGGGGACTATTTATACAGGGGTGGTAACAAGTACCAGAATAGTTGAATCTCTTTCAAACCCGCTTAAAAAAAACTGCTCAAATTTCTTTATCTGTAAGATTCCGGACATACAAAATTAAATGATTCAATGATATCGGCGCTGCTGTCAGATCTACCAGCTTTACCCTACATCATTGTCCAATTTCGTTTGCCCAGAAACCTCCAGATAACGAAATCTGGGGAAGCAGCATAAGTGGGTTTGAAGAGATTCACTCCGCTCCGGTATTTTTTACCACCCCTGTATAAGTAGCCTCCTTATGACGTGGTACGTGCTAATAATTCACCAAATATCTCGGTGTCTCGAGAACAGGATAGCTTTTCCACCTAAGAAATATAATATAATCATATTTTGCTCTCAGAATGGTTATACAATAAAGCAGAGAAAGATTGGTGCCATATCAATTACCAAAGAAAACTTGTGCCCCCTATCCTATAAATTGCAGTTCATGTTACGTGCTATCTTTAGTTACTCTGAGGTGCAACGTTGAACGAACAGTGATGAAGAAAATTGTTTTGAGTAACTGAGACAAACAATCAGGATGATGAAAGTCTTTTTCCAGTTAAACTGAAATTTCTGCAAAACTACGAGATTTATTCAAAAACCCTTCAAGTTGTTTTTTACCATTGAACTACTGATTCTTTTAAAACCCAGAAAAAAAGCAGGAGTATGTTTGAAAAGAAATGGCGACGTCCTGAAATTTGTCAAACTTTGCACTGTTTTATTGTCCACCCTATGTATGTTGAAGATAACGTTTCTGTTTATCAGCACGATACCATACACCTTGAACTCCAAGCAATGCGCCCCAATATGCTTCAAACCGTAATCAAATATCTCTTATCTTATACTTTCTGAGATATTTGACTTCAAAAATAGGCCAAAAATTTCCTTATGCGTATCGAAGTTCCAGCAGTTTAGTTTGCACCAGTGTCCGCACTGCCCGCATGCCATTTATAGCGAATTCTATTGAAAGGGATAGTGCGCACTGAGCATATTCGTGTCTTTTTCTACTAGTTTGCATAAGAAAGAGATAAAAATACATTTTTTGCACTGGTTCTACCTATAGAATCCGCTATAATTTGAAAGTTTTTGGGGAATCAAGTTCGGTGAAAAGTTTTCGTCTCCGGCGGGCTGGTTTGGACTAATTACCCCCCCCCCCCCCCCCAGACGCATGGGCTGGATACGCCGGTGACATCACCCCTCTTATGGACAGGCACAACCCTAGCAAGTTTTAGTTGTTCCGGAAAAACTCCCAACGCCAAACAGGTGTTAATAATATGCATTAATGGCGAGCAGATCGAGTGAGCAATGTGCTTTAAGAGAAAAATTGGAATTTCATCGATACCAGCAGAATATTTGTTCGGCAAGGCCATGATGATTTTAAGAATTTCATCCTGGTCAGTCGGTTCCAATAGCAGGGTATGATGGTTATAATAAATCATGTTGTATTTGATATTGTGATTTGCTGCTTGCTGCATCTGTAAGGTTAAAAAGGCCTTTAAAAATATTTAAAATCTCAAGTACGTTACGTGGACGGGTTAATTTGCATATTGAAGAAAACCACCTATTTGAAATATTATTTCTTCAAATCCTAAATTTCAAAAACGTTCACTATAGAAAAGTAAATGATAAATGTTGCAACCATGTATATGCGCTGGGAAGTTTAGGGGAGAACGAAGACGCGCCTCATAAAGCGTACCGGAGGGTAGAGAAGAAAATGAGAGACCAGAGGGAACAAGCTTGTCGGCCATTGTTCATTATTCAATGTTTATTTTGTATCAAACTGATTGTTCAATCCAATTTGTGATTAGTTTGTGTGTCATTAGGAGCATTCACAGCTCAGTTGAATACACATGTTATTTTGTTTTTGAGAGTTCAATTTATACAAGTATTTTTTTAAAATTTTTATGTTTTATTTGTTTGTTTATAACATTTTTTATAACATGTGTATTGTTCATGTACTTATTTAACAAAAATCGTTGCATGCTGTGAACAACGCAGATAAAAAACTAAATTGAAACCTAGAAAAATTATGTGCTGAGTTTTGTGCTGGAATTTTAATTTTTGGTACTCAGAGCGTGTATTAGGGCCTTGTTAAATCTACTAACACTTTCCTACCCTGAAATGTCACAATATGTTGCGCCATTGTTGACGATTGCGGCAGGAGCTAGGTGTTGTTTGCATACCTACCTATTTGTCACTAATCGCTATCGCTATCTTTTTTTTTTTCTTAATGTTAAAAGGAGAAGAGTAAAGTCAAAGGTGGAAAGGATAGTAATAATTTTCGTTGCTGTGAGTGACGTTATACTGAAGAGTATTATTAAAAAAGTTTTTAATTGATATCTTGAAAACTGTTGGGTATTGAACATTAGCGCAATAATCACTTTTGTTAAGGACGACTCCCTATACACAATATCAAAAATTCAGCAAAATTCCACATAGATCACTTTTCCATAAGAAATGTGCGGGGTCCTTTCCCTTTTTCCCTTTTTACTGAAAATTTCCCTGAATCTAGGGAGAAATTCCCTAATAGGTTTACCATTACTGATGAGGGCGCTTACGATCTGGCCGGGAGTCTGGTAATAAATTCTCTCGGAATTCTGACTCAAGTCGGAATTCCGACTTTTTATGACCTACATCAGGTGTGCGGCAGCTCCAGCTGGTTCTCCGGCCAGAGTACCGGCCAAATCGTAAGCGCCCTCATTTTATTGCGGTAGTAAATGAAATTAAAAGTCTACATAAAAACCCTATACTTACATACAGAATTGTCTGGCTAGCCAAACGGCGAACTAAAATGGAATTTGCTGCTTTGCCAAACTTTACGGAAACAGTAATAAACAAGTTGGTGACATTTTTTTTTGCTATATGGGCATATGTAGTATTTTGAAATTGAAGAAAATCCAGCAGCATCGCGAAATGATGGATGTGGAGAGGCGTGATTATTCAGAGGCATGATTCTATTGGTTATAGCCTGAACGACAGCACAGTGACGTGGTTATTCGTGAAACTTAAAAAAAAATTCTAATGATTTTATTGGTTAATTTCCTTGGTGTTTTCGGTGCCACTGAACCCAAAGACATTACTGTCATCAAGCGGTGTCAGTCGAGGTGTGAGTGAATATTCTTAGGTTACGCCCCACTTTTCTTCCCCCTTTCGTCCCTATCAACTTCAACTTACCACTTGCCAGACTATAAATATGGAACTTTTCTATACAGTGTGTATCAGCCAAATGGAATAAATTCGATAATAAATAAATGGGGGTGTTGTCCAAAAAACGCTCGGACACGTCGATTTTGTCTTTTTGCTTAAGATTTTTTACACATCAATTTTTTTATACAGGGTTTCCGAACAACAGCTGTACTGTTATTAACTTAATTTTTTTCAATGATACCCCCCTGTATAGTATGACATTTCTCGATTCTGCGGTTAATTCTAGACATATTTCCAATCTCCTATACTTATCTTCAACTGTTTCGGAAATATTGACCGTTGAAAATTGACTTTTCTGCATTTTTGACAGACTGCAAAACATTAACAGTTGATTTTACAGCAAAACCGATCAGCGTCGAACTGGACCTTGGAGGCCCGGGTGGCATAATGACTTAAGGGGCCCGCTGCTCATCTAGGAGAGCATTTATGTCGACCAACAAACATTATGATAATGATCAAGTAGGCAAGAATTTTTGGATGTTTTCATTGTCAAAGATATACATTTATAAAAATTAGCAAAATCAACATTTTTTCAAAAAGAGTGTTTCAGCCAGACTGTCAATAACTCGTTCATAAAAACTGCCATCCACGTAATCCTGGATAAGATCCAATTCAGTATTCAGGATAATCAACGAATCGAGCAGTTTTTGCCCTAGTAGAGAACGAAGCCTCGTTTTGTTGCGTTTTAGTGAGGAAAATCGTCTTTCGCGTTTCTTGCGTAAACGAGATTGTGAGGATTTTACAATCAGCTACATATAAGTTGGAGTACGTACTTATGTGCATGTTGCATTGCGACAAAAGTTTACATTCACATGATATGCAAGTTCGGCAAGCATCGGAGTCTCTTGCAGACGAGCAGCTATCGCCGATCTCTGCCTTCTCTTCGTCTTCTTCCTCATTCTGAGAATCTGAATCATTTGTATGTTGCTCCCGAGATGAAACGCATTCGTCCCAAATAGTTCTAGAAAGTTCTTTGAAACTTTTTGCAAAAGATTCGAGTTCTTTTGATAGTAATTCTCGATCGATATTGGCAAATGATGCGATTGACTTTAATGCGTCCATAGGAAGTCCGTTTTTGACAATTTCGTGGAAGTTTTTCGGATCCAAACAAGCGGCATCCTTCATTAAATACTCCTTGCTAGTGGCTTTCGTCATGCTTGATGAGTTGTTCATATACATATATGTTTTTTGGACGGAGTGACACCATCAACGTCCAACGAACGGACTTCGTCCTCCTTCTCCTTGTTTTTTTTTTTTTTTTTTTTTCGTAACGTCAGGCGCGAAGAACATGCGAACGGTACAAAATATTCTAGATAATAAGACACTGATTCTCGTCGGATTAGGGTTCCTGTTGGTAGCTTTTCATAGTAAACTCGACTTCCATCAAAAGGCAAGCTGTTTTTTTATCACCAGACGACTGGATTGGGTGGACAGACAAGAAACTAATTTTTTCCGCAGTGGTGGCATTTTTTTCTGGAAGGAACAAATCCAGAAAGGTTTCCGATTTCTTTTAAACCTTCATCTGTTATTGTGAATGTAAGTGGCTCGACGCCATCGACATTTACTGTAGCTCTGGTATCGCTAGAAACTGACGGAATTGGCACATCAGTATCAGAAATGATTGCATTTGCGTAATGGCGGCTGACTTGACTGGCTAGCCCTCACTAGCTTGCGCCTATTTGGCGAATCGAATCAGTAGTCAGTGTTGCTAATTTGTACGATAATAATTGTGAGGAAGCACGATAAAAGACCACTGGTACAAATGGTACAATATATAACTCGTTCGATACATGTGCATACACGCATTGATTGGTGGAGTCAAGCAGCCTGACTTATTTATAAAAACAAAACCATTTTCTGAAAGGGGCCCGCACAAGCCAGGACCCGGGTGGCAAATGCCGCCCTGACCCTATGGCCAGTCCGACCCTGAAACCGATCATACATTCTTTTCTTATGACGTTTCCGATTGGTAGAACCAGTGCGAAACTAGTGCAATTTTTATTATTTTTGTCTCTTTCTTCTACAGGTCGATTGAAAGGTTGCAAATACACTCAGTGCGTATCGAATCTACTAATCGAAAACGCCATTATAGTCTAGGAGGCAGTGACGATTTGCGGTACTTATTTTCCCAGTCACGAAACATGGGTAGAATTGTAGGGTTAGTAATTCTAAGCAAAATTCATATATTTTTAGGGGGGGTTTTCCGATGGGTTGAGGCGCAAAATGCGTTAGAGGTCACGAATACACGCCTTTTTTTTTCCAGTGATAAAAATAAGTCAACTGATCAGAAGTATACTAAAGTTACGTAAAAAAATAGTCCGGCTAATCTGTGAGTATAGATAATATGTCTGGCAAGTGAAAAATTGAAGATCCGAAAAACTTCAGCCAGACTAACTTTCCACTATCTGAGGTAAGCCAAATTGCTATGTTCATATACTTTATGTTCGATTGTAGTGGATGTGAAATATTTATGACTAGGAAAATAAGTTTACTTGTATTTTTCATTGATCTAGTGAACCCATCCGAAAATTTTTGCGAAACTCAAATATTCTTGTTTTGTATCACAAAGAGAACAAACTATTTAATATACACCAACTGGGAAAATAAGTGCTAAAAATTTTCACTGCCTCCCGGACTATTAGTTTTTCATTAACTATCATTAATTTGACAGTTGACACCAACTTTGAATTTAATCCATCAGATGTATTGAAGAGGTGAAGCTAAAATTATTAAGGATAAAACATTAAAATAAAATAAAAATAGGTATCGGAATATCAAATATTTTCAAAGGAATAGACGTTAAAAATGCGACTTTTCCAGAAATTATATATAACTAGCTAATGACCCGCTGCGTTGCCAGTGTGTAAATACATTTTGAAATAATACACTTCTTTTCAAATTTTGTTGTTGATTTTCTATTTAGTTTTTTTTAATCCGATATCAGAGTCGCTTGCCAGTGAGTTCAGTGACGCATTTTAAGCACTCCAGAGCTGCTCTAGAGCGCCCCGGGCTGTTTATAGGCTTTCCAGTGTATCAGAGTTTTACGCAACCGAACTTTTTTTTTGCGGGATAAAAAATAGCCTATATCACTCTCCTCTATAGCCGATTCGATTGACCGGATTAGATCGATCTGGTTCAATTTAAATGAACCACACTGTGTTCGATTCAAGCTGGATCAGTGCACCCTCATCAACAAAAAAATGAACTAGATCAGAAGAAGTTCACTTAAATTGAAGCCAAATCGATCTAATCTGGGTCAATCGAATTCACCTTATACAGGGTGTCCCACGGTGAATGGCGTATTAGACGTTTATGGAGAACTAAAAAGCGAATCATTTTGAAAATTTCGCGACCGGGATAAAAATATTTTTGTTTATGCGGTGTTGCCGCTTCTACTCTAAACCAGTGGCAACATCGCTATTTTAAATGGAACAACTTGTATTTGATTGCATATTTGGATTCTACGTATGATTCTGAGCAGATTTCATGTGATATACCCTATACCTAAGTTCAACTGTTTTGGAAATATTGACAGCTGAAAATTGACTTTTTGCAACTTTGACAGGCTGTAAAACTTGAACGGTTAATTTTAGAGAAAAACCGATTTCATATTCCTATCTCAGATTTTTATAAACTATCATTTGACACCAACTTCGAATTTAATCCATGATTTAAAAAATTTAATCTCCGGTTAAATTCAAAGTTGGTGTCAAATGATAGTTCATGAAAATCTAAGAGAAGAATGTGCAATCGGTTTATCTCTAAAATTAACCGTTCAGGCTTTAGAGACTGTCAAAGTTGCAAAAAGTCAATTTTCAGCTGTCAATATTTCCAAAACAGTTGAACTTAGGTATAGGGTATATCACATGAAATCTGCTCAGAATCATACGTAGAATCCAAATATGCAATCAAATATAAGTTGTTCCATTTAAAATAGCGATGTTGCCACTGGTTTAGAGTAGAAGCGGCAACACCACATAAACCTAAATATTTTTGAAGGGTAGATTATGGTCGTTTATCCCGGTTGCCAAATTTTCAAAATGATCCGCTTTTTAGTTCTCCATTAACGTCTAATACGCCATCCACCGTGGGACACCCTGTATATAGAGATACGTGGTATTAATTCAAGATCGGTCTAGCCGTTCTTGAATTCAAAAAATAATAAAGTCACGACGGTTGAATGCACGCCTAAATAAATGAAATATGTCAACGTTATTTCATGCTGTCAAAAAAAGTAGGGTTATGTTGTTATGTAATGTGAATGAGCTTGTTTACAATTAAATTAATAATTAATTCAAAATTAATTTCTTTTTCCGAGATGCGTAACCTATCCACAAACCTTCCTTGGGATGGCCATAATAACCTACCAAAGTTTCATCGTAATCGGATAAGTGGTTTTAGAGCGCATATCCGGATACCCCGTGAACTTCGATTTTTATATATACAGGGTGTCCCACGGTGGATGGCGTATTAGACGTTTATGGAGAACTAAAAAGCGGATCATTTTGGAAATTTGGCAACCGGGATGCATATTCATTTTCTGCCAACGTAATAAGACCTTCGGCTGCATTCGTGTTCGTTCGAGCACAGCGTAGGCAAATTATGATTCAAGTGGAGTAACGTTGGCAGTTTATAGAGCCTGTCTGGGGTTCGTGAAAATATTCTCTAAATAAATTCAGTTGAAAATTGGCAGTTATTGTTAGTTGTTGGCACATGTTTCAATGCGAAATGCGATAACGAGTGAAGAAATACCTTTATTAAGAATTTAGAAATTAATCATTGTGTCTATTCAAAAGCCTCTGAACTTTTTTGGTAGATTTGAGATAGTTTCGGATAGTTTGCGTTAGTATGGGTTATTTTTGGTTAGTTTGGGTTAGTTCGTATATGTAGAACAAAAAAAAAAGATCTTTTCCTACAACCACATACGAAAATGACAAAATAGCTGTTTTTTGGGAAGCGCGAAATAACACACATATGCTGAAAGTACTCTCAATACGCTTGCTAAAAGTACTTTCAGCACACGTGTGGAATATACTGTTGACATTATTTGCGATTGCCATCACAATTTACTTTCAATACGCGGATTGAAAGTACTTTCAGCACGCATGTTCAACATGAAAAGAAATAAAAATGCTAAAATTGATGTAAATCGGATTCTGGTCGTAGGAAAACAGTGTAAATCACTTGTAAGAAAACGTCTTTCATACACTCGTGTGATTTTCGCAACTCGGCTACCGCCTCGCACGAAAAAATACTCGTGTGAGATTTGTTACTTTCTACACTCGTGATATGATATACTATTTGTATTTTGGACTTTTCATATTTTCGACATTTAGCATTTTCGACATTTCTTAATTTCTACCTTTTTTATCTTATTATTTCAATTTTTTTTAGCTCATACTTCATAAAATAGTTAAAATGTCCATCGGGTAGTTCCAAAGACATCAGTAGTTCTATCTAACACAATAATTATGCCAGCCATTGCTTTCGCTGAAATTTTCATGCAAATAAAATTCTCGTCTTTTTTCTCATGTTCTATTTTCCTTTCCTTTGAATAAAATAGTCATTTACCTAACAAGTGCGGAAAGTGGTACTTTTCCGCACGAGGGTGGAAAAGACATTTTCCGCAAAAGTTAGGTACAATATTTTTCCTACGAGTGCTTTTGTCCATCTTATTTATCAAAAAAAATTTTTCAATACGCAAAGATTTTATAATGATGGTACAAAATAGCACATAATATAATAGTTATTTATGTATCAAGGGTACTAAGTAGATGATTATGCCCCGAGGGCGACAGTCTTACAAAGCCGAGGGCCTCTGGCCCGAGGGTTCGTAAGTTGCCCGAGGGTATATATCTATTAGTACCCGTGGTGCATACAAACTTTTATGTCATGCCTGCGCGGGCCATAATGTGCACTTTATGCCCGCGCGGGCCATAATGTGTACTTTATGCCCGCACGGGCATAAAGTAATGAATTATATAGATGGTATCTAAGGTATAAAAACACAATAATGTACTGGTATGACATAAAATAATATATAACATAAATCATTTATTTGATCCTAATTATCTTCATTTTTAACAATAAAAAAATCGTGCGGAAAAGTAAATTTTCAGCACGATTTTACTTTTCCGCACGATTTTTTTATGCACAAAAAAATAATGGAACCGGATTTTTTTATCATGATCCTTGGTCTATAACTAAATTGGCCAAAAAAATTGTTAGGATTCCCTACCTTCGCGGGGCTATGCCACCCAAAATAGGGGGCCCTACAGGGCTGTGCCCCCAAATAAGGGGCTCTGCCCCCCAAATAAGGGGCTTTGCCCCCCCCAAAAAGGAGCACCCAGGGCTTCTCCCCCCAAAAAGGGGCCCCACGGGACTGTGCCCCTCAAAAATGGGGCCCCCGCGGGACTATGCCCCCCAAATAGGGGGCCCCCGAACTTTAATATGGGTACACTTTTCAGTAAAAG